TCAATGAAATAACACCTCAAGCAGAACTCAGATAAAGTTACACATAAATTTATTAACTTCAAATCCTTTAAGTACCTTAGTTTAGACAACCCTAGCCACCGTAACAGATAAACTGAAATTTCAGCCGTTTAATACAATAGTTCATTTCTTGTTTCCTCACTGACTAGTTTTTGGCCTGAGGCCCCGGCTGAGACTCAAGGTCAGGGGGAGCTCCACTGTCTACCATTGGGCTTGAGGCTGGGAGGGGCTTTCTGGGCTGTGAACAGTTAATAAACAGATGGGCAGAATGAAATGGAAAGTGTAGTGGAAATTTTGCAGTGTCAGACGAGAAGAGATGAGCATCACTTCCATTACATTCCATTGTCCAGAAGCCAATTATTTGGCCCAATGAGGTACAAAGCAGACTTAGGACTTAAGTTTCTGGACACGAAGCCACTCCCCACCAACTTCTGTATGCTATGGAGTAAACAAAACACTTGGTGGTTAGCTAGTTGTCTCCACCACCATGGCAACTTACTTCTTGAAGGTCTGATGACAGTGGATCTCATTTTTTGGAGGTCAGGGCCTGTAGTTTTCAAAGGCAACTTGAAGATATCAGGGTATAAATTCAGTTTGATGACTGTACAAGGCAAATCAACTGAATCTGCAGTCCCATGGTCGTCCTCTTTAAACTTCATCCACTTAAAAAAATGCGACATATCATCTAGACTCATTTCCTATATTCAAAGAATCTTTAGAGGTGGATGGAACACAGAGATCAAAACATCTAACTGACCCAAAAGGAGACCTCTCACTGTCAGAATTGTTTAAATCCCAAACAGTGGCTTCAATCTTACCAATTACTAGCTCCGATTAACTTTCCAAACAAATCAAAGTTCCTACATATCTTCAGTAGAATCAAAATGCTGTGTAATTATCCACTCTGTTTCCCAAAGAAAGAAATCTGTTATCATCATCATGGTGCAGTGTCTCTTCAAATACCTTTGCCAGCTTCTTTTCACCAAACTCTGGAACCAGATTTCTCAGTCTACTGCCTCACTAAGCATGACTTTCAGCACCAAGAACCCTGGCAATATTACTTTTTTTTCCTATGAGAAACTTATCAGTGAAATAAACTCATTCATACTTTTTAACTATTGTATTAGTTTTTGATATCAAATTAGCTATACGTGAGCCAAAATATACAAAATATTTTATACCACCAATTTAACATTAATGTGATGGTACTAGCTTTGAAGGACCATTATCCTTAACATTTTTTTCTTCTATGTAAATCTAGTATGCACAAGTTAATCTTGCTTTTTTCCCCCTATATTCTATCAAAGTAACTTGAAACTTTAAAGCTCAGTTTGTAATTTTTTTAACCACTTACCATTGGACATTCTGTATATAAAGAAAGGTTTGATTGTCAAATGAGTTTGGAAATTCTCTGGACTATATACCGTGCTTTTCTGAGAGATTTATAATGTTAAGTAGCAAACTGCAAACTGAAATGCATTGCACTATAGAAATTTATTACTCTCTAATAAGGCATCACCATAATAAATATCGTTCTTTAGCCAGCTGACAACTTAATATGAACAACAAACTCTGCACATTTCTGTACATGCACCAACTCATTGAGACTTTATGACACCCCTGTGGGACAGGTACTATTAATAAGCCTCATTCTACACAGCAGTAACTGAGGCCAATAGAATCAAATAACTTGCCCAAGGACATAGTTAGTAAAGACCGGCTCTTAAAACAGATCTACTTGGGGTTAAACTAATTTCTTGACCCCAGAGCCCCTTTCAAAAAAAAATGCTTAATACATTGTATATTCCACAGGAATTTTAGTCAAAGGAGGCAACCTCCTGTCTTCTAATAGTTTTATAGTTTAAAAGTAAGAACATCTGAATTATAGAGTAATTTGCAAAGAGGGGGAAAGAAAGGAAGAAGGAGAGGGAGGAAGAGAGAAAGAAAATAGAAAGAAAGGAACAAAACCTTCTTAGAATCGTCTGTAGGAGGAAAATAATCACATTTGGCACTTTGATAAAGTTTTAACTTTATCAAATACTCTTACTTTTGTGATCCATGAGATCTGGGCTCTATCCGTACCATTCATGTGCTACACAGTCTGTTGTAAATTAGACCATTTAATCCCCCTAAACCTACATCTTCTCATGTGTAAGAGAGAAAAATCATCCCAAGTCCATCTCTACTCTTTGCATAGCAGAAGGATTGAAAGAGTTCAGTGTGAAAAATACCTCGGGGATTTTTTTTAAATACCAAAATGCGTGTGCATGCGCGTGCGCACACACACACACATACGCCATGGTATGCTACCAGGGTCATTTTAGGCATTTATTATTTGACCAGAGACCTCCTTGCAAAAAGCAACTCTGAAGGGAAATCACAATGTAGGTAACAGAGGAAGAGCATCACTGAGTGCTGGAACCGAAATGACAGACCCAGAGAGCCCCTCCTCTTTCCTGAGCCCTCCTCACCTCTCATGAAAGAGGTGACATGTCTCCTCAGGTCCCCCAGGGTCCCTTAGAGCACGCTTCAGTCAAGTGAGGGGGCCACACAGTGGTCTGAGCTGGTTCCCTCTGAGTAAAGTGAAGCAGATGGATGAAATGCTTTGTCAGGTTTCTTGCAGTAGCAACGACATATCGGCAATATGAGTATCTGGTTCTTATGTCATCAGAAAGAAATGTCACCTTCCACATGGACTAACAGCCTCGCACACAGGCACCATCATGACATGCTTGCCCTGAGGTAACTGTAGACAGCAATCCTTACAGACGCGTCCAGGCCTCTGCACTGTCCCAGCAGCATCAGCGAGCACCAATTCCACACTGGGTCACAGCTGCCTGGTTCATTCTCCCGTCAGACTCATGTAAATGGCTTGTCTGTGAAAAGCTATGCTGAGCTAAGACAGTGGCTTAGGGAAGAGTGTACTTCCATCTTGTCCCCAAGGGGCCTCAGCATCACAGCAAGATGGGGATGGACACCAAGCAGCTGGACTGCAGGAGTCTACCGGGAATACACATGAAGCCCTCAAGGCTTGGCTGGACCAGCATGGGCGTGCAGCGGGTAAGACTCAGAGTCGGCTTCTTTGCTCAGATGTTGGCTCTGACCCTGGGTCCACAGCTCTCTGTGGTGCTGGGAAAGTTACCTCTCTACCTCACGTTTCTAGTCACTTTAATGGGAAAGCTCATTGGCCAGGTTGGTGAGGTTTTAAGGGATGAAATGAATAAAACATGAAAAGCACTTAGAGGAGCACCTGAAACACAAGGAAGCATTCAATAAATGATAACTAACTGGATTCTGGACCAAGGATGAGAGCCTCTCTGCAAGAGGAGCACAGCGGTGAAAAGCAGGTGCTGGAGACAGATGGCCAGGGCTCCAGGCCGAGCTGCACTGCTTTCCAGCTGCGCTGTCTTGGACAAGTTAGCAGCCTCACCAAAGCCAGACAAAACGGCACTAAAACTGAAGCACTCGGCCTGTGACAGCGAGCACACTATGGCAATCATCATTCATGACTGGGAGATCACAGCAAAAACACTTCCTGTTCCACTAAAGGAACCAGGAAGGACTTCAAGGTGTCAGTGACATGGGACCCAAGCAGGGCGCGTGCTGTGGTTGCTATGAGCCTGACCTGAGTTCTGGCTGCTGACCTGCTCAGCCTCCTCCCGTGCATTTCCAATTCTTCCTTTTTCCTTTTATTTCTACTGCCAGCAGAAGAGTAATTACAAAACAAAACATAACTGTCTAAGTAGATATGGAGAGGGAGAGGGAGGAGGAAAGAAAGAGGAGAAAAGAGGGGCTTGGGAGGGGAGGAGGAGAGAGCAGCGTAGGAAGCTTAGGTTCAGGGTGTGTGAGGGGGTGTGTGTGTGCATATGTGTGTGTGTGTGTGTGTTTACTGTGTCATTCCGCTGCCTCCAAACCTCCCACACCTCTCTTGCCTTAAGGGTTAAGTCTACACTACTTAGCCTGACCTTCAAAACCTCTGCCACTGAGACCCAAGCGCTCACTGTCCTCTGGACCAACCCTAGCTTCTACCCAGGACCCACAGAGCCCACAGAGCTGGGCAATTCCCACCCTTACACCTTGCCTCGTATCCTTCCCAGTCCAAAATGTATTGGCTCTCTCCTTCCCTCTCTCACCACAGTAAGCTATGTGGTGTCCTACACAAGACCCCACACTTGGCTTGGCTGCCCTGAACTGCTGAGCCCCTCACTTGTCAGGACTTGCTCTGGGTACCTGCCTGCTTCATGTCCTACCAAATGTCCCTGTGGTGTCCACAGAGCAGAGACAATCTCCTGGACTTCTCCCACCTCTCTCAGCCCTGCCACTTCCCATGGTGATATTTTGATTCCGAGCCTTGTGTGCAGTAGACATTGTACTTGCTGAAAAACCTCGGAAAATAAATCAGTATTCATAAGCTACCAATGTTTGGAAAATTACTCTATTAATCCGAGTGCTATTTATGTGCATTATTGTGTATTATAGTATAATATTAAAGAGCAATAAATAAAGGATAAAACAATTATTCTGAGAGGTTAAATCTGGATGGAAAAACACAGATAAGCTAATGAGAAAGTAAAAAGAATATAATGTTTAATCGTGTGATGCCAACTACAGTTCATAATGAGTCCAAGGAAAGAAAGGGTTCATAGGCAAATGGAGAGCTTTTCTCCTGGTAAACAATTGCAGGGAATGAAATCCCAAACCCTGGTTTGATTGGACAAAAGAGCTTAGTTACATCCTCACTGTTCTGCAGGGGCAGTTTCCTGGCTTCGCTCACCATTCTGAGAATTTTCACAGGGGGCAGGTTGCGCTGGGTGGCCAGGGAAGCCGGAAGCACCTTGCCTCTGGCTGTTTGTCCTCCCAGTAGTTTAGAGACTGTGTGCCCCATGTTACACGGTAGGACACTGAGCTTCTCTGTCGCTAGTGTGGGCTGGGTGGTCCCGAGGACCTTGGCTTGCCTTACAGCCCCACCTTCTCATTTACAGATCGGCTACTGGAATGAAGACGACAAGTTTGTGCCTGCAGCCACTGATGCTCAAGCTGGGGGAGACAACTCGAGTGTTCAGAACAGAACCTACATCGTCACCACCATCCTAGTGAGTACCCACCCCTTCCTCACGGTCACCTGGGGTTCTACCCGATAGTACACACAATTCCTACTCAAAGGGAGAGCTGGTCACTCTTCTTGCCAAACAGTGCCAGGCAGTGGAAGAAGGAATGCCCTGAGGATGAGAGGTTCTGAGTTCCCCTCAGCATCCCTTAGATTCATTGTCTCATTTCAGATCCATGGCTAAGCCACATAGGAGCTTCTTGAAGGTCTATTCTTCTTCCTTCAAAAGTATTTTTTTAAAAAGAAGCTGGGGGACTCGTACAGCATAATCTGAAAGGCTATATTGCCATCACAATGATGAAACAATGTTATTTGAACAAAACCTGATCCCTTATCCCAAGAAACTTTTATAGGGGCTAGACATTCAGAAATACACTTAGAGACTTCCCCAGTGGTAAGCAAGGTCAGTGATGTCCTCTTCTGCCATGCTGAAGTCTCCCTGCCCATGAGGAAGCCTGTAACCACATCCTCCGTCTCCCTGTCTCTCTGCCAGGAAGACCCTTATGTGATGCTCAAGAAGAATGCCAACCAGTTTGAGGGCAATGACCGTTACGAGGGCTACTGCGTCGAGCTGGCAGCGGAAATTGCCAAGCACGTGGGCTACTCCTACCGTCTCGAGATCGTCAGCGATGGGAAATATGGAGCCCGAGATCCTGACACAAAGGCCTGGAACGGCATGGTGGGAGAGCTGGTGTACGGAGTAAGTTTCTCCAGGGTGGAGAGATGGAGGCCAAAACCAGAGAGTTGGACGGGAAAGTGTTTGGTGGCTGGAATGCCCATGTGACCCCATAACTCAGTACAGTGTTGCTGAACAGACAAGTCATCCACAGCACGCTGACTGCAGGCACCCTTTGTTCAGGTTTCTGGGTGCAGTGCCTTCGGCCTCATTCAGTGTCTGGTTCCTTCAGTTGGTCATTGTCCAACACGCATGACCCTGTGGCTCCACAATCTATTTTCTCAAGGCAGGTTTCTAAGTTATGACCTCCCTCAAGTTATACAAGACTTCCTTGGTGTCAGTTTCTTCCCCAGGTAAACCTGGATCCAAGGTATCTTTTTATCACTTGCTCCTGTTTTTTTCTCTGATGAAGCATCAGCCAAACTGCTCTTCACTCACTCTCTTCTCTAGAATTTTCTCTACCCTTCTCCACCTCTAAAATCTCCCTCCCAGCCCTTAGCGAGTATCACATTAACCCATTTGTCTTTCTGCTCTCCCAGTTAAATTGGAGCTTTCCTTTGAACTGTCCTTGCTTTCTGCCGTAGAACTTGGTTTTATATGGTTTGCTCTGCCTTGCGTCATGGTTAGCCGTATCACAGAGGGGTCTACCCTGCTTTTGTTTTACTCACCACACTTGAAATAACTCCATGCACAACTGCTGTGAAAACTTCAATACACAGAACAAGTTCTGAGAAGCCACTGAATACCTGACACTGTTTTCAGTTTTAGGGAGTTAGGGAAAAGCAAACGGTCCTCTAGGTCTGCACATTTTACGGGGGGAGGAAAGACAGTAAGAGAGAAAAAAAGCATCGAATCACAGAGGCTGAGTCATGCGGTTCACACGAGCTAATGTGGGTTTTTCTAGCTCTCAAAACAGGCATGGAACTTGGACCAAAGCCACATGGAAATAGAAAGAGAGAAGGGCAGCCCAGGAATTTCTAAAGTGTATTTTTGAAAGAATGGTGGTAGAAATAAGTAAGAGGTGGAGAGTTGAGTGAGAACACATGCCTTGGGCTGGATGTGGGTTAAGGAGTGACCAGGAACTGACAAGGGGAAGGTGATCAAGATGAGGGCAGCTGGGAGGAGAGATTTGGAGGGCACCTGAGGAGAAGAATAGGAGATGTAGTGGAAGATCCCTGCCGCCCTGTGCAGGAAAGGGGCCGCGGTGGCTTCACTCACAGACACAGAAAGCTCTGGGTTAGTGGATGAGCTCCAGCCCGCAGGGAGCCCCAGGTTAATGCTAAGTGCTGGTCAGGAGGAAGCAATCACTTAGGAGGACTGCAAGACTCATTGTCTGGCTTCAGGGCAAAAGGAGGTATAATAGCTGTAAATGATACACAAAGAGGATTCAAAAAAGAAAAAGATGGAGTTTTAAGAAAAGGTCCTCAGGGAGGTGGCTTTTGAGGTGGCCTGCGCAGGCGGTTAATGGGCTGAGGAATGGGATTGCTGCTCCCCTTTCTTCCCTCTGCCCTGCCTCCCGCTTTGGAAGCTCTGCGGATGAAAGATAGAGACCTGGATGGGTCACGGCTGCGTCTGGAGGCTGGTTTCCATGGGAACTACCACTATGCTCTTAAGGTCATCCCCATGGCAACTGCTGTGAACTCTTCTCTTCTCCGGCTTTCGTCCTCACCTTCACCTCCTGTAACGCAGCCCCCTTCATGTGAGAAGCCTGTGATGGGGGCAGAGCGATGACAGGATGACCATCCTGATGACAAGCCCCCTAATGCCAGGAGTCCGCAGTGATTCACCGGCTCATCAGCTCCCAAACTAAGCAGACTTTGCCCTGTGCTTCAGCGTCAGAACCCGCCCTCTGTCTCCCCTTCACCAGCCCTGCCCCTCTGTCCAGCCAAAACTTCCTTCCCAAGGCTCCCTGATGGGCTCACCTGGCCCTTTTTTCTCCTTTTACTTTTCACTTGATTATTTCCTGTTAGTTTTCTATTTCCCTGAGAAAGAACAAAGAGGGTAAGGGAAATATTCTCAACCACAAACCCCCGTGTAGCCAGGAAGAAGTCACTGAGGAGCCTCTAACTGTACTGTGTCTATGCTTTATAAATAGCTGCCAGACCTTCTCTTTTGATCTTCCTTTTGCTCCCTGTTGCTCTTAGGAGCAGTGTTAGGGGTGACATTTCATCACACAGTACACATCCAGTGCCAGGCCAAATACTTTCCTTACATTCTTTAATTCTTCATGTCAGTCCCATAATTTGAGGACACAGAGGCCCAGAGAAGTTAGGTAATTTGCCAGATGACACACAGGGTCACACCACATTGTTGTGTCTTTTTTTCTCTATCCTACCACACTCTGCCTCTGCAGAAATCATGCCATCCATATTCTGAACTCTCAAGCCAATAAGAAGTGAGAACAGCCAGTGGTTTTCTCAGCAAGGAAATAGATGCTGGGTATCATCAGCAAGGTTTCTGCTCCTCTCGTGGCTGTATCTTTGTGCCTCTTTTTTTACATGAAATTTTTTCTGTCTTGTCTTGGTGAAGCAGAAAGAAAGCAAGTTTTGCAGACAGATATCTGGGTTTGAGCTCCAACTCTGCCAGCTCCCAGGCTGTGATTCTTGCGAGCCACTGAGGTCCCCCGGGGGTCACCTCCCTGCAAGGTGCACGGTGAATCCTTCACTGTCCTTGCAGAGCCGTGCTGGGGAGGAGAGGAACCCCACCCCATCCTTTTATGCACTGTTTGCTTTTGTGCCACCACATCCAAGCTGTATTCTATATTGCCAGGTTTAATCCAGGCGTCACATCATTCTGAGGTCTTCTAGAGAGTAGTGCTTGAAGTTTGGGCCCTCAACTAGCATCAGCATCACCTGTCAACTTGCTAGAATTGCGAGTTCTCACATTTCATCCTAGACCTGCTGAATCTCGCAGCTCTGCTATGGGCTGCGAACAGCGCCACGGGTGATTCTGACGCCGGCTGGAGTTTGCCAGCCACCGTCCTGAGATGTGCATTTAAAAAAAATAAATTCAGTGCCCGTGAAAGGGTTACACTTCATAGTACTCTCAAGTCACTGAAAAACTTTGAGTCTCACAACAACCCTATGAAATATAAAACAAGAACTATTGTGCCTTTTTAATAAGGAAGTTCATATGAGAAAACCAAAGTGTTTCACTTGAACCCACATAGCCATGGAGTCACGGGAAAGAGCAGTTCAGTTTTACATCAGCTCTGCGCTTGGCCAGTCCTGGGAAGCACCAGTAACCACCTCACACGGTGGAAATCAACTTCTCGGGCTCTCCGTCAGCATAAAACACACTAAAATACTACCACTTTGTGCAGGCCGCCTTCCCTATCTGGCCCAGGGACCCTTACCCATAACAACAGCCTACCATGTGAGCATCCTACATATTTAGGTCTCTTTTGATGCTTAGGGAAATAAATGTCCCCTAGAAAATTAAGTTAGGCCACACTGCCTCCTAATTACCCTACGTGGCAATACTAGCTATTACTTAACCTTCTTTGAAATCCTCAACACATAGTGGTCTCTTTAAGGTTTTAAATCTTGCCCCAAGTAACTTATTTAAATCTGTGTTTCCCATCCCTATTCATTTTTATGTTATCCCTATTAACACCCCTTCAGAAATAATGTTCCGTGGGACCAATTTAGGGACTGCTAAATGAGCTAAGCATGAAGATGATATTATTCTCTAATTTTAGAGTCTATGATCCTTTTTATTAGATCACGTCAGAAAACATCAAGCAACTCCATTCGATACCCTTTGTCAGTTTCACAGCTGATCTCCATCCCACCCCGGGTACCTTGGCATCAGTACTTACTTCCAAGTCATTTGCATCACTTTCCTCTCCTATTCCTTTTCTGGGTTGATTTACAGAGGACAGTAGATATCTTCTCCCTGGTGCTGGCTTGAAAGTATTTATAAAAATTATCAAGGATCATGCAGTGAGTCTTAGTGGGGGAAAAAAACAGAATTACTATGAAATTCACACCTGGTCCATGCTGCTTTGCAGAAAGTTTCTTTCTACATGGGAGAATGTAAGACTTTCTGGAAAGAGACTGTTATTCCCCTTAGGTACTTCCTCAATAGCCCTCCCCAACAAGAGCAGCTGACAGAGACTCACCCTGAGACACAGCTGCACAGCACTTGCCTCTCGCCTCACATCTGGACAGCTGTGGGCATCGTAAGAGGAAGCCAAGCATCCCAAACAGGTGTGCTCAGGTGCACTGCTCACCTCGGAAATGAATGTTTGTACTGAGGCCAGGGATCTAGCTCAGCAGCATAACCGCATGCTTGGCAAGCACAAGGTCGTGAGTTTGATCCCTCGTACAAAAAAAAAGGAACATTGCAGCCTCTGTCCATGGAAACTTTCCGGGGTTTCCAGTCTGCCTTGATCTCCAGCAGTGGACTCTTACCGAGTAGATGCCAGTGCTTGTGTGACTAGAGAAAGGTAGGCAAGGCAGGAGAGCGAGGCTTGGCAGTTCTACGTGCTGGAGGCCCAAGGATGGACCTTGTCACAACCTTCTCCTGTTTATCAACATGCTGGATTTCAAATTTAAGAACTGAATTGTTGGTGTATTTCTCAGCAATCTTCCTGGGGGAAAATGTGACAAATATACTTTACTTCCTTACTGCCAGGCCTTTCTTCATGTGGCTCCTGGAATGCTGTTCTTCACTAGAGCAACCTGTTGAAATCCTACCCTCTTTCCATATCACGTTGCTACTTCACCCCTTCCCAATGCAATCTATTGCCCCAGCCAGAATGAATCCCCCTCAGTCCTCTGTAGTATTTTATACCTCTTAGAAAGCGTATATCCTGTCTACTTTGTATACCAGAAAACTTGCATGTGCATCTATATGTGTGTGTTCTCTGTGTGTTATTCTCTCCCATTGGCTTATAATTCTTTGAGTGTGGGGACCATAGTTTGCCTAGAGCTTCCAGCCTAGACTTACCAATAAGTGTTCAATAAATATTTATTGAGTTAAATTGCCTTTACTACCTTGTTAGCTAGGATAATCTTCATTTCAGGTAAAAGAAATCCAATCCAAACTGGCTTAGGCCAACAGAGGGATTGTTTTAGGTTCTTCGTGACAAACAGAGGAATGTATTGACACACATTCCTAGGCTGTCCAGGGCAATCCCAGAAGTGACCTTAGAGTGACCTTAAATTACAGCATTGGGATCATCTTCTCCATCACTCAGCTCAGCTCTCAGGGATAATTCTCAGCCAGCCCAGTCGGGTTTGATGTCATCTCTGAGCAAATCTTCCCCAGTAGAGGTGTGGAATATACTGATTGGCCAGACCTGGGTTATGTGCTTCCCAGTGTGACCAGCACAGTCCGCCCCATTCCTACATGGAGGGCTGAGTAGGGAGGGAGTGGTCTCTCTCCCAAGACACGAAGGTGGCAGGCTGCTGAGTGGGAAAAAAGCAACAAATATCACACCAGCCTCCTTTTTGCAGAAGAGAAACAAGCCTCTGGCAAGGCGAACTTGCAAATAACGGGATCCTCTCTCCTGTCATATGCTGAGTTGATGATCCATTTGCCAGAAATATTTTATAATATTGGAGAGATTAGACTTCTGAGCACTTTTGTGCTCTTTAAGATACAAAGGAATATTCACAATGAAAAGAGAAAACAAAAAAAGGTGCTAAGCTCAACTGTCTTATATTTTATTTTTGCAGAGAGCAGATGTGGCCGTGGCCCCCTTAACTATCACCTTGGTCCGGGAGGAGGTTATAGACTTCTCCAAGCCGTTTATGAGTTTGGGCATCTCCATCATGATAAAAAAGCCACAGAAGTCCAAGCCAGGAGTGTTCTCCTTCCTCGACCCTTTGGCTTACGAGATTTGGATGTGCATAGTCTTTGCCTACATCGGAGTGAGCGTTGTCCTCTTCCTGGTCAGCCGCTTCAGCCCCTACGAGTGGCACAGTGAAGAGTTTGAGGAAGGACGAGATCAGACAACCACTGACCAGTCCAATGAATTTGGGATATTCAACAGCTTGTGGTTCTCCCTGGGAGCTTTCATGCAGCAAGGATGTGACATTTCTCCCAGGTCAGTCAGCTCTTTCCTCTACTTTTATTTTTCAATATATTTTTGAGGTAAAAATACTGGAAATTTAAGAGATAGGAATTATTATTTTAACTGCTTTTTACAGTTAACTGCACACTATGGGTCATGTGGATGCATCCATGCTAATCCAGCTCTGTCTGTCATTGGATTGATGTGTTCAATCAAGAGCCGTAGGCAGAGTTATGGCTGAAGTGTGGAGAAATAAAGGGGGAACAGTGTGATACAGCTGATACTTAATGAGGACTGACAGTATGCCAGGCAAGGTTGGGATTCCTGTTCGTGCATCAATCATTTCGGTGAATGTTCATGGGAGCAAAAGGTGGGGCTCATCTTCTATGTGATTTTATCAATGAGGAACCACAGAAAGGCTGACTGTCTTGCATAGTCGTGCTCAGTAGTAGATGGGTGAGTTGAGATTCAGACCGCCATCCTATATTACTTAAGTATGGTAAAGAAGTTGTGGATTGTAAGTGGGTGCCGTGACTCCCTTGTGGCCTTAGTAAGTCATCTCACCCCGATGGACTTTGGCTTCTTCATCTTAAAAAGGATTCTTATCTTTGAGAAAGACCCTGAGAAAATTCTAATTCCTTTGATGACATAAATGTGTTTCTTGGGGTTCAAAAGAAACCACAAGAGGTACCTCAGGGATTGCCTTGAGAATACTAGGCAGCAATATCAGTGGGACTTCAGACCCTTACGTAGAACAAGAGCAGCTGCATTTTTGTGTGTCTTATATGTTGAATTTTTTAATGCAATCTATTTTGAAACCAATGAACCTGAGGCTAAGAAAGGAGGAAGAGTAGAAAGGAAAAAGCAGAAAGAGAAATTTGAAAATCAGTAATCCAGACCAAGTCTCACACTTCCTGACCTCCTGTATTTATGTGTAATTTCTTTTCTCTCATTCTAGAATGTTCATACCTAAACTTCTCTAACTGATAAGAACCTGTGGCTATTGTATACTTTCATAGTTCCTTAGTGTGTGTGAACTCCCTTTCCCACGGGCATTCCTTTGCAGATTACCCAATTTCAAAAGCAGGCAGAGAAGTACAGCTTAGCATCTGCCCTCCATGGATGGAGCTGGGGCATAAGTGCACACACACCAGGCCTCATGGAAATGTACTGGAGGTATCTTATTCCAGCATCATTTTGCATTTGACTGCCAATGAGGACCAATATTTCTAAGCAGCAATGGAGTAAACTCTTCCTAACGAGCTTCCCCCAGGACTTATTTTGCCTACTGTATAATTTGGAAAGCCTCAACAGTCACCGTTATAATCTTGTTTTTCTTTAAATAAGAAGACAGTCAGGGGGTGGGGGGAGAAGGGGAACGTGGGAGAGAAGGTGTGAGACTGGCTGCTTGGCCAACACTGGCAAACACATGGTGAAGAGTAGAAAGAACCAAGCAGGGGAAGGGCTTGCTTAAAAATAAATCAGGCCAGTGGATAAACAGTGGGAGGAACGATTCCTGCCTAGTCAGGATAACATAGGGCCATCAAAACCAGCATGTGCCATGAGCTTATTTTTCTGTTATTTCCTTCATGAGTAGGCATCTACCTCTTAACAGCACTCCTGTGGTTGGACCTCAGGGTGTATTTTTACACTCCCCATCAGCCCTCCAGAGGTCTCAATTCATGGTTCGCACTCTGAGTCTCTATAGGCACATTTCCGTTTAATCCATTCGTATTAGGCCGTGAGTATCCAAAACCTTCTGGCAGGTGTTCAGGCTGATCCACACAGTCACCAAGTCACACCAGCGCCTGCCACACAGTGTCACTCTGCGTCACTCCACTGGCTTCAGAGGGTACTTGGCCAAAAGAGGACATTCAAACTGTGTGCCCTGGATTTCTGAGAGCTCCCCTCAGTTGCCTCAGAAACTCACAACGAGCTGAAGAGGAGAATGAACAGCACATACCCAGCCATCCTTCCCCACAGCTTTGCATGTCAACACCATTCTATGCCGCTGTTCTTTGTTTGGTAAGATGACAATAATGGTTTTGAGTATTGTCGTGAGATTTTTTTAAAATTATGGCACTTCCTTTAGAACCTGCTACACAGGACCCAGCCTTCCCATGGGAAACCCATAAAAGGATAATCTTTTTACTCTTGACTGACTTTGTTTATGGGACTTTGACTAAACTTCTTTAGAAGACAGGGGGCACTGCTCAGTGATTGGAAAGGCTACGCCCTCTTCTGAGGAAGTCTGGGGACAAAGCTAGTGGTTCACTCCAGAGACCAGTATACCTAGTTCCTGGGGCTCCTGTGCCCGGGAACGAGGAGGAAGGATTTGTGACCGTGGACGAAAAGAGTCTGATAGACTCAGGCGTGAGCTACTGAAATAAGGAATTTTAGCCACATCAGAGAAAGAGCCTGTAGAAACCTAAGAGTCAAAATATATGTCATCACGATGTTTCTTGGAAATACATGTGGTGCCAGACAAATGAACAAGGACTCTAACAGTGGTGAGGGCAGAGGGCAAGCAGATAATGATAAACCCAGCAGAAACCACTGCTGTTGTTTAACCTGGTACACTCCGTGTCACACGCTATACTGCATCCTTCAAATGAGCTTCAGTTCACTGTTCTCACTGCCTATATAGATATCACAAATATACCATAAATCCTCACTAACTTAGGATTCAGAGCACTAAACTCCATCTGAATTGTGTATATCTACACTCATACACAAATAGCTTTATCTCATTCTAGTGTCTTCGAAGTTGACGATCTTGTCCAGTAACCAAAAGCCAATGAAATGTGGTCACAAGAAACAGCAGCAATAGAAAACTCTTCCTCACAGATTGAGGGGTCTATCAGATTGCAGGTTGTACCCTGAAAATCATGGTAGCAGGCTTCTGCTTGCATGAAATCAGAATGGGCTTTTTTGTTATTCTCCTGGCCTGTTCTTGTCCACAAGGAGGGGACCTGCCAGATATTGTACCCACATTTAAGCAGTGAGAGAAGGAGGAAGTGTTTGCCACCATAGATGTCTCTTGAGATCAAGAAAACCAAAGCACAACAAAATATTTCCACCACCAAATAAATGCCTGGCTCTACTCACTGGCCAGAACAGTGGCCCATGGTTATTTATGCTGGCCAGGGAACATAGGAAGGCAGGAATTTAGGCTTTCGCTCCTCTAGAGTAGCAGGCACCGGAATGTACTTAGGAGAGTCAACTTGCAGACTTGACCACAGTACCTAAAGTCAATGTTTTCTGTGCTAGCACCACAAATCCATAAAACCAACCTTTAATTAGCACATTCAATAATGCAACCCGGCAACTGCTCCCAAAACACTGAATGACCACCCCCTTTTCCTTTGAAATTTTCTATGACAAATGGCTTTTGAAACCTACTTTTTCAGACTAAATGTTAAAATGCAGCTTAACTGTGATCACAGGCTACAGTGTTGCTTTCCTTAGGTCGATGGTGACAGTAGGAAGCAGATCCCTTGTAGGCCTGCTCCTTGAGCCCAAGACCTACATTTAATAGATATTTTGGATTTTTTTTCATGTAGAGCAACATTTTGAAAAATACATTAAAGGAAAAACAAAAATTGCCACGGACGAAATTTACCTTTCTTCCCTGGTGTCCTTTCTTTCTTCCCCATTTGTGGCCAGCATCATTGATCATTTATTGGCTCAGCAGATATGACTAACTGCCTGTGACTTACCGGGTTTGGTCTGAGATGCTGCAGATATGAAGATACATGGATGGTGGAGCCTGGAGTGGGGTAGGAAGCAGGCTCTGCTTCAAGGAGCAGCGAGTATACTGGTATAAGACAGAAGGAGCAATGGCGAATGTATAAATTTTATATGCTACCAAAGAATGAAACTGCACTTGCAGTGAATGCAAAAGGAAGTGGAGTGAAAGGATAATTACGTAGAGTGTTTTGAGAAAGTTTCTCTGAGGAGCTAATGGGTAAAAGAGAGCCAGGCTTGTGTGGCTGAGAGGCAAACATAACCATGTGTGAAGTTTCCAGATAGACGACAGCCTCCTGCACTTACAGCCTAGAGAAACAGTGAGTGTGTCTGGCTTTTAGTGAAAAAGGAGCACAGTGTCTTGAGGTAGTACTGGAAAAGTAGGCAAAACCCAGATCGTGTGTGTAGATGTGGGGTTTCCCCTAAATGAAATAGAGAGCCATTGAGGGTCTTAAGCAACAGAAGGGTTGAATTGCATACTAAAACACCACTCTGGGGAACTATGAGGAAAACGAATTAGAGGAGAGTCCCAACTGGAAGTAGAGGGAATAAACAAGAGGTTCCGGCAGCTGTCCAGGGGAAATTACAGGGATGAAAATCACAGAGATGCCCGTGGACATGGGTTTATGATCTGCTAGGAAACTGGCATTGACAGGACTTGCTGATGGAGGGCTGCATCCCTAAACATAGGGAGAGGGAGGTTGCAAGATAAATCCAAGAGAGAGGACGCATTTACGAAACAAGGAGTCGGTTCCAGGAACGTTTAGCTCTGAATGGGGTCAGAGGATGCTCTAGTTTATGACTCATCACAACGAGGGCACCAAGGCCCAGCATGGGGCAAAGGTATTTTCTCTGAGGTTGCTCAAGCAATGTCCATGGCTTGTTGACACTCAGACTGACCTGCCCTCCCAGGCAGTCCCAACAAGAAGCACCACTACCTACAGGTAAATTGTCAGCTGTACCCTCACTGCCCTATTTCCCCTTGGGGTTAATACCCTAGTGGACCCCAGTCCACTCACTTTGTAAGGAGAAGAGGATGTGGAAGAGTCTTCAGAGAATAGAGGAAAAGGAGAAATTAGGATTTTGGCTTCCAGAACTCTCCCTCTTATTCCTGCTCATAGTCTGCATCAGCCGGTATGATAATTATCTCTACCTGCTGAAGATAATTACTCTCAGGGAGCAGCCTCAGGCGGGGGAGTGATGCTGCTTTCAAGCTCTCACAGAACCTTGTATCACACACACAGATGCCCCCTCAGCTAATGTACTGGTTGGGGGCCCTGTAACTG